GGTATTGTGAGAATGATGACGTCAACATATGTACTAATGTGCTGGACACAAATGACGTATGTACGGATTGTGATGAGTTGTATGAGCCCCTAATAAAATGATTATTTAAAAAACACCATAATTCGCAAGCATATTAGAAAAAAATGTGAGTTTATACACAGGTATTTTTTTAAACATATTGTTCTATGCTGTCACCGTTGAACATAATTATAATAACTACCTAAAAACACCCAAGCTGGGGAACGCACTGACACTTAAAAATTATTTGCGAAACATTGAAAAACGAAATCTTATTTGCCTTTTTAAAAAATAATAATTTTTTTAAGGAACAAAAGCACACACTTGAAAACAACGCGTGGTGAGGAGCGGAAATACTTGTGGGCAGATTTTTCCAGAGACTGGAAGGCAGTCTCTGGCTCGGTGACATCAGTGGGGAAATGGCTAAATGATTAGATGGGAACTCCAGAAATTTTCCACTACTGTCTTCAGCCTGGATCACGCATTGGGCTGCTAGCCACGGGGTCAGCAGTCTGAAACCAGCAGCTGCTCGGCAGGGGGAAAACGAGGCTTTCTGCCGACCTGAAGCGCTACAGTCTCAGAACCCACAGGACTGCTGGGTAGACCCTGTCCTGCAACGTCACTATGAGTGGGAGTCAGTTCAGTGGCAGGCACTTTAATTTTTTGTTTTGGGTCCTCATGCTTCAATAGTCCTGTCCCTGGAGCCCTGGTGGGGAATTGGGCTGCTAACTGCAGTGTCAGTGGGTTCAAACTCATCAACCTTCCCAACGGAGAAAGACGAGACTCTGGCTGTCCCTGGAAGATATATATTCTTGGAAAATGATAGAGCAGGTCTACACTGTTCTGTAGGGTCGCTGTGAATTGGGATTAAAGAAATGTAAGATTTTGTTGGGAAGCAGGGAGAATCTGTGTTTCAGTGAAGCGTTTGCTGTCAGCTGGGTCCTCTCTTGGGTGGCATTCACCTGTTGACATTCTATTGGTCCAGAAAGACTTTGAGTAACTTTCGCTCTGTATTTTTTATTCCATTGATTTCTAATGTTACGAAAGCCCTGGCGATGTCAATCTCATCTTTCCCAGTTGGGAAGCATTCTCCCTTTTTCTTGTGTGCGATATGTATATTTATAACCGTGTAGAGAGAAAGACTGGGCTTCCCACTCCCGTAAACAGTTGCAGTCTCAGAAGCCCACAGGGGGTCGCTATGAGTCAGCATTAACTCTATAGCAGTGACTGAGTAAATGAGGGAATATATATTCCCTGATGGTTTGGTAAAAGTTCCTATAAAATAATCATCTGGGAATATTGTTTTCTTCAGTTGGTATGCTTACAATTCCCCCACATGCGTTCATCATGGCTCCTGTGTTCCTCTAGCTCTAGTTCTGTAATGCTCAATGATGAAAGCTTTCCCTTGTGTTTACACATACATATGCATTAGCTAGATGTGTAATATGTAGGTTTAAAGCCGTCTTTGAGTAGCACTGCTGTCATGATGGGTCATCCCGTGGATTCCGACACCTAGCGACCTTGTAGGACAGAGTG